TGGCAGGACTGGCAGGGTGTGGAGATGCGTGTCCGGGCATGGCAGGAGCAGCAGGGCGCGTCGTGTCTGGGCATGGCCAGGTGCTTAGAGGTGCCAGGAGCTGCAGCATCCCTGACCCCTATGAGGGGCATAGCGGGGGTTTGGGGGGTGCAGAGAGGAGCTGGGGGGCTGACAGAGGCCTTGGCCAGCTCTGCCCGGGCCAAGCTATGGCAGAGGCACTGAGGCCATATCCTGCCCCATTGCTGTCTCCTCCCCCCACCCCACGGCTTGTAGCCGTAGGACCCGGCTGCCCGGCCACTGCCCTGGCTGGCTCAGACCACTGGCCTGGCAGGGGCCCAGGGCTGGGGCCTGCAGGAGGGAGCTGGCGCTGGGCATGGGCTGGGGCGGGCCTGGGTGACACCCTCTGGCCTCCCCACAGCGCGGTGAAGTTCTCAGCCAAGCTGATGGTCCAAGTGATGGCGCGTCGCGTCAAGGCCACCATCCTGTACGCCACCGAGACGGGCAAGTCCCGCACCTACGCCTGGAACCTGGGCGAGCTGTTCCGGCGCGCCTTCGACCCCAAGGTGGGGCTGGGGCACGGGGTGCAGGGGGAGGGGCTGGGGGCTGCAGGGCACTGCCTGTGGGGCGGGGGGCTGGTTGTCGGGGATGGCCGGGGGCAGGATGGGGGGCTGTTTGGGGTGGATGGGGGTTAGCGGGGGATTGGTTGAGGGCTGGCTGGGGGAGAGGGGGACTGGCAGGGAGTATGGGGTGGAGATTGGCTGGGGGAGGAAGAGGATCTGGCTGAGGAGGGTGGGGGGGCTGGCTGGGGGGGCTGGGTGAGGACAGGGCTGCCAGGGGCAGTGGCAGGGGGCTGGCTGAGGTTCAGGGGATGAACGGGGGCTGGCTGGGGTGGGTGGGGGGCACATGGGGGGCTGGGGGAGGATGGGAGTTGGTGGGCAGGAGGCTGGTGGGGGGAGGATGGGGGGCTGGCTGTGGCTGGCACATTGTTGGCCCCTTGCCGGGTTCCCCCATCTCCCCAAATGCTTTTCAGGTGCGGGGGAACCTGCCACATTTGGTTTCCCAGGGCTCCTGCGTTCTCTTCCCAGCTTGGGGGGGGGGGCAGGGGCTGGTGGGGGCAGAGGAGGGGGGGGGGGGGGAACCAGGACGCCTGGGTTCTATTCTGGCTCTGGGGGGGGCAGTGGGGTCTGGTGGCTAGAGTAGGGGGAGCTGGGAACCAGGACGCCTGGGTTCCACCCTGCTCTGGGAACCCAGACACTGCTGGCGGCTCCGCCCCAGGGCCCCCCTAACCTCCTGGCCCGGCTGCTCCGGAGGAGGCAGGGAGACCCCTATTGGTCAGTGATGGAATAACCAGCTCAGGTGAGGTGCCCTGGACCCCTGGCGGAGGCTGGCCCAGCAGCTGCAAGGGACCCTACCCAGAGGGAGACCCCCCGAAGCCCCTAGCGGACGCCGGCCCAGCGCTGTCGCAGGCAGCCCGACCGGATGCCCCGGGGGCTCTGGACGGTCTCATTATCCACAGCAACGTCGGACGCTCTGACCATGCCTGACTGCTTGGCCCGAGCGAGACCCTGCGGCAGGGAGTTCCACCGGCTCAGCGTGGGTGGGGCCAGAAGGATCCATCCCCCCAGCCTGGAGCGTGCAGCCTGCCTGCCCCGCATGGGAGACGGGCACAGCAGTGCCCATCGGCCCCGTCCGCTGCCCTGCGTCCCCGGCCCCACTGACTCCCCCCCCCCCCCCCGTGTCACCCCTAGGTGCTCTGCATGGACGAGTACGACATCGTCAGCCTGGAGCATGAGACCCTGGTACTGGTCGTGACCAGCACCTTCGGCAACGGCGACCCGCCGGAGAGTGGGGAGGTGAGGGGGCCCAGGGGCAGAGTCTTGGGGCAGCACCTATGGATCGTTGCTGGGTGGGGAGCTGGCATTAGAGGGCCGGGGAGGTGCCCGGGGTGGCAGGCAGCACTAGAGGGCCGGGGGTGCCCATGGGAGCAACACTAGAGGCCCAGGCGGGTGCCCAGGGATCGGTGCCCTTGGGAGCAGCACTAGGGGGCCAGGGGGTGCCTGGGGGGGTCGGTGCCCGGGGGAGCAGCGCTAGGGGGCCGGGGGGTGTCCAGGGGATCGGTGCCCGGGGGAGCAGCGCTAGGGGGCTGGGGGGTGTCCAGGGGATCGGTGCCCAGGGGAGCAGCGCTAGGGGGCCGGGGGTGCCCGGGGGATCGGTGCCCGGGGGAGCAGCGCTAAGGGGCCGGGGGGTGCCCGGGGGATCGGTGCCCAGGGGAGCAGTGCTAGGGGGCTGGGGGTGCCCGGGGGAGCAGCGCTAGGGGGCCGGGGGGTACCCGCCCGAGCCCCTGACCCCTCTCTCTCGGCAGAGCTTTGCCAAGGCACTGATGGAGATGTCCTGCCCCTATGTCAGCTCCACGCAGCCCGAGCAACAAAAGTGAGTGATTCCCGCGGGTGTGGGGCAGCTCTGGGCCCGCGCAGAGGCCCCCCTGTGCCCGGGGCTGTGGGGTTAACGAGGTCCCTGGGCTGGCCGAGGTCACTGCACCCGGGGCAAGGCTGTGGGTGGCACGTTCCAAACCTTGGCCTGGGGAATGCCTGGGACATGCCCCCATCACACCAGAGCCCCTGAGGGGGGAAAAGGCCCCCGGGGGTTGGATCGGAGCTGGTGCCCCCTAGAAGGGAAAGGCCCCCATCCCAGTCCTCACCCCCCGTGCCAGCCGGCCCCCGCTCTGGGGCCAGAAAGAGGGGCCCAGCGGTGCCCTGCCCAGCCTGGGGCTCACTGTGCATTCCCCCCTAGGAGCTACAAGATCCGGTTCAACAGCGTCTCGCAGAGTGACGGGCTCGTGGCCTCGTGGAAGAAGAAGCGGAAGCAGTCGAGCAACACGGATAGCGCCGGGGCTCTGGGCACGCTCCGGTAGGGGCGCTAGGATACCTGGGAGCCGGCCCAGCTCTGCCCCTTTTAGCGACTGGCTCTGGCTGCATTTCCTTGTCTGTTGGGTGTGGGGGAGAGACAGACTCGCCCCTTGTCATGGAGCTGCAGGGTCTGGGCTGTGCCTGGCCTGTCAGCAGGGTCCGGGGTGGGACCCCTTGGCAGGCCGGGCCCAGGGACCCTGTGACGGTGCTGCCTGTGGGAGCCAGCTGAGGTCACTCAATGAGGGTGAACTGCAAACAGAACGGGGCAGACAAACCCCAAACGCTGGTGAATATTCCAATACTGAGATTTACCAAAACAGCCCAAAACAGCTTCTATATTACCTCACTGGTTACTCAGAGTCCAACCAACGCAGTTCCCTTAAAGTGCCCAGCCTCAGGCCTCCGTCCAGACACACCTGTCAGATATGATGATGATTACTGAAAATCTTCTCTCATCATATAGAAGAAAAGGTTCTTCCAACCCCAAAGGGTCAGCCACATACCCAGGTCCAATTATAACTTAGATCGTACCCAAAATACACGCTAGAGCCAATTCTTATTAACTAAAGTAAAATTTATTATAAAAGAAAAGAGAGAGTGTTGGTTAAAAGATCAATATACAGACAGACTTGAATCCAGTTCTTGAGGTTCAGATACATAGCAGAGATGAGCTTGTAGTTGCCAAAAGTCCTTTTAGAAATAGTCCAGAGGTTATAGTCCCATGTCCATGTTCAGGGTGACTCCAGTGACTCAATCCTTGTGGCTTAAGGTTTCCCCCTCTTGAAACCCAAAGCAGATCTGAGATGAAGCAGGATCGTGTCCCAGGGTTCTTATACATTTCCAGCAGCCTCTTGGCCTGAGAAAACAATAGGCTTAACTCTCCTTCTTCCAAACATCCTGGCAATTAGCACAGGGTAATTTATCCATTAAACAGTTCAGATACAGGTTACCTCAACCTTCAAAGAGACATAGAGACAATAATACTATTTCACTCAAGTATCTTCCTAAATGTTAATATTCCTTTTTTAATCTTTGAATCAAAGCTATAGCAATAGACAAGACTTGTTTGCTCCCATCACAAGCCCTGAGCAAACATCTCCCCTTCTACCTCTAACAATGCAGACTTGCATATCAAAGCTCTATTCATTTACAGATCTTCCTAACCAGTCTCTAAAGTTCGGCCATGGGTCAGGTCAGTCTGAGTTAATTAACTCTTTCTGGCCCTGTCACCTTTCAATGAGATATTATTGTGACGAAGTGGGGCTGTGAGTCCGGACAATTATATTACAGACCCCCAGTTCCCTAGGGATCCGCCTGTGGCCTCCACACTCCAAGGCGGGGCCTTCATCCCAGCGCCCCGTCTCTCCGTGCTCCCAGCAGCGAGGCCTGCGGGAGGCCGTGCTGGGCCCTGCCGGGGGCAATGCTCCCGGGCGCGTTCACCGCCACGTAGGCCGCCTGTGCCAACCGGGATCTGTCGACTAGTCGCCAGGCCAGTCTGACGGGCCGAGGTCAGCGCAGCGAGGCAGGAGTGCAGCCGCGGGCCAGTACCCGCCGGGCCAGCCGAGTGGTGCCAGCCCCAGCCCCAGCTCCCTCCCACCACCCATCTGCCAGAGGTTTCCTGCTGCCAGGCACGGCTGGTTCGGGCCTTGGCGTCTCTGTCTTGCGGGATGTGCTGTGGAGCCGAGGTCGGTTTTAGCCGGTGCATGACACTGTTCGCTCCACCCCCCCCCGTCGGGAGCCCCCAATCCCCTGCCGCCTGCGCTGGGTCCCCAGGAGACTCAACCCTTCAGTCACAGTGCAAAGTGCAGAAGGAAACTGAGGCACGTGCAGGTGTCATACAGATATCACCTAACTCCTCCTTTGGCCCCCTCCGCCCATGTCCCCAGCTCAGCTCCAAGTGCAGCATTAACCCTTCTGCCCCCACTGGAGAGCAATGACAAGTCCAGGGGAAACTGAGGCAGACATAGGTTTCGTAAAAAGGTTACCGAAAATTCCCTTTGGCACTCGGGGAAGCCAGCGAGGGCCGGGAAACACCCCCTGGGTGAGGGCAGCAGGCGGGCGATGGGAGTGGGAAAGTCACACTTGGGCCGGGGGCATCTGGTGAGACCCCTCCCCGCCACTCTCAGTGCCTCCCCAAGAGCCCTGGCGCCCCCTGCTGTCCTGGGGGCAGAGGCAGCCCCAGCCAGCGCCCCCTTTGCCGATGCCTCTTAGACCAGGGTGCCCTCCTGCTCTATCTGCAATCCCAGCGCTGTGCCCCCCAGTGCTACCAGTGCCCCTCACTCCCGACCCGCAGCCCCTGCCAGCCCAGCCCTGGGCTCCCCCCGTCCTGCCGAGTGTCCCCTGGGGCTGGTGGGAAGTGACTGGGTGACCTGTGTGTTCCCACTCGGCCCTGGGGTCCCCCTCTTGGTGGGGCTGGAGCGGGGGTCGGAGCAAAACACCAGCAGGGGCTCAGCTGCTGTCTCCTGTGCCCCCCAGGTTCTCGGTCTTCGGGCTGGGCTCCCGGGCCTACCCCCACTTCTGTGCCTTCGCCCACGCCGTGGACACGCGGCTGGAGGAGCTGGGGGGCGAGCGCATCCTGGCCATGGGGGAGGGCGACGAGCTGTGTGCCCAGGAGGAGGCCTTCCGCACCTGGGCCAAACACGTCTTTCAGGTGAGCGGGGCGGGGCAGGCATGAGGGGGAGGGGCTGGGTGCAGGGGGAATGGGGCTGGAAGGGCAGAGGGGAATTGGGGTGCAGGGGAGGGGCTGGGCAGAGGGGGAATAGGGGTGCGGAGGGAGGAGCTGGATGCAGGGGGAGTTGGGGTACACAGGGGAACTGGGGCACACGGGAGGGGAAGGGCAGGCTCTGGAGTGGAAGATTGGGGTTCTGGGAGACGAGGGTGGCACAGGACCAGGAGGGGTGGGGGGTGGGGAAGGGTACCGGGGTCTCCTCCCCCCACTGTAGAAGGAAAGGCGCCCCCTTGCTGTGCACTCGGCTCAGGTCCCGCTGGCAGCCAGCTGCCCCCAGAGGTGGTACTGGGGTTCTGGGCCCCCTGCAGCAGGGCCTGGGGGTTGTTACATCAGAGATCTGGGCTCCCAGTGACACCCCCCCCCCCAGGCTGCCTGCGACACCTTCTGTGTTGGGGACGACGCCGAGGAGGCTGCCAGGGAGATTTTCACCACGCGGCAAAGCTGGAAGCGCCAGAAATACCAGCTGAGCGTCCGTGACAACCCCCTGGACACGCTGACAGGTACCAGCTGGCCAGTCCCCCCACGCCCTGCAGGGGGCGCTAGCCTGGGGGGCCAGTCACAGCTGGGCGTCCACGCCGAGCTCCCAGACACGCTGACAGGTACCTGCTGGCCAGTCCCCCCACGCCCTGCAGGGGGCGCTAGCCTGGGGGGCCAGTCACCAGCTGGGCGTGACCCCCCGTGCAACGATGTAGTCACAAGGGCCCGTGCGATGCTGGCTGCAGGACCTGGGCAATCTCCTGCAGGGACAGGGAGGTGCTTTTCCCTCGGCCTGGCCCTGGGGCGACTGGGTACCTGGGTCCAGCCCTGGGGCCACATGTCCAGAGGGAGATTGGCGCAGAGAGCGATTGAGGGGCTGGGGACCCGCCGGTGCCAGACCCCAGGAAGGGAGCTCGTCTGGCTAGCGTCCCCCAGCCACGCTTCGGGGTGAGGGGATCAGTGTGTGAGGGCCTGGCTCAGCGCTGCTGGAAGGTCTCTGTGGAGCGGCTCTGTCCCTCCGGCCCGTGTAACTCACCCAGCGAGCGCGGGGGCAAGGCCAGGGGAGACCCAGCGCCGACCTAGCACTGTGCACACCGGCGCGGCTGTCGGGGACACGTCACTCGGGGGGGTCACGCCCCAGCCAACCACAGTGCTTGTGCAGACGTGGCCGGGGCGCCCACGCGGGGCACAGATCCAGCACCGGCTCCACGCTGGAGCAGCGGCCGGTCCAAGAGGAGCCAGTGGCCAGAAGCTGAAGCTAGACAAAGCCAGGCACTGGGGCACGTTGTTAGCACCGAGGGGCGTTAGCCATGGGGATGACGGAGCCAGGCTCGGGCTGGATTCTCCGTCACTACCGGGCTTCAGGCCGGCTCGGCTGCTTGCTCGAAGTGCGGCTCTGGGAGTCGCTGGTCCCTGGCCCGTGTTACGCAGGGTCAGGCCGACTGGACACCCTGGGCCTGCTGGCCTTGGCATCCATGGATCTGAGAGAGGCTGGGGCTGGAGTAGCCGGGAGCCCCCCAACCCTCTGCTGCGAGAGGCCAGGGTGGGAGTAGCCGGGAGCCCCCCAACCCCCTGCTGCGAGAGGCCAGGGTGGGAGTAGCCGGGAGCTCCCCCCTCCCCAACAGCCAGCACTCCCACCCCCTCCCCACAGCGCCCCCTGCTGGGGGCTGGCCCCCACTGACCCCTCTGGCTGTGCTTGGTTGGCAGGTTTATCCCACGTGCACAAGCGCAGGGTGTTTCCCTGCCGTGTCCTTTCCGTGCAGAACCTGCAGAGCAAGGAGTCCAGGTGAGACACCCCCACCCCGGGCCGCCCTGCCTGGCGCTGGGAGCCCCCCGCCCCTGGCGCTGGGGCCTGCTCTGACGCCTCCCTCCCTCCCAGCCGCGCCACCATCCTGGTGCGCCTGGACACGGCCGGGCAGCCGGAGCTGCAGTACCTGCCCGGGGACCACGTGGGCATCTTCCCCGCCAACCGCCCGGAGCTGGTGCAGGAGCTGCTGGAGCGCGTGGAGGACCCGCCCCCTGACGAGGAGCCGGTGGCCGTGGAGTTCCTGGAGACGGCGACCAGTGGTGAGAGGCGAGGGGCTCCTCCCCAGAGCCAGCGCTGGGGGCAGGGACCCTGGTGCTAGTCCTGGGGGATCCCATGGGGGTCCCATGGGGGGATCCCGGTGCTAGCGCCTGGGGGGGTCCCATGGGGGGATCCCATGGGGGGATCCCGGTGCTAGTCCTGGGGGATCCCATGGGGGGATCCCGGTGCTAGCGCCTGGGGGGGTCCCATGGGGGGATCCCATGGGGGGATCCCGGTGCTAGTCCTGGGGGATCCCATGGGGGGATCCCGGTGCTAGCGCCTGGGGGGGTCCCATGGGGGGGGGAATCCAGCAGCTGGGGCCCCCTTTTGTTCTGACTCTGTGGTTGGGCACGTGGGGGGCCGCCCCCGCTGGCAGCAGAGCTCGGGCTCCGTCATAGACCCCCCAGGTCTGGTCTGTGCCCAGCCTGTCACCAGCCCTTGGGAGTGACCCCTTAGCAGGCCAGGCCCAGGGCCTCCAGTTCCCTAGGGCAGCCCCGTGGCCTCCACACTCTGGGACGGGGCCTCGGGCCCCTGCGCCCCATCTCGCTCCGTGCTCCTGGCCCTGGGCCTGCGGGAGGCTGTGCACACCCCTCCTGCCCTCTGCTGAGCACCTAGGGGGTAGCCACGAAAAGCCAAAAGGGAAACTGAGGCATGGCTAGGGTTCCTATCCCAGACTACGTTCACTGCGTCACAGGGCAGACGTGCCCCCCCTCGGTCTCTCTGCAGGCGGGCGCGCCAGCCCCAAGGCCAGCTGGGTGCCCCTCAGCCGCCTGCCGCCCTGCACCCTGCGCCAGGCCCTCACCTTCTTCCTGGACATCACCACCCCGCCCAGCCCCCAGCTCCTGCAGCTGCTGGCCACGCTGGCCGAGGACGGCGCCGAGCGGGAGCAGCTGCAGCGGCTCAGCCAGGTGCGAGGGGCCTCCGGGGGGCGCAGTCTGGGACATTGCCGGGGGAGCAGCATGGGCAGTGGCCATGTGCTGGGTGGGGGTGGCCACGGGGGCAGACAGGTGCCAGGCCCAGCACGGGGGGCGAGGGAGGGTCCGCGGCCTCCCAGCCCAGCGCTGTGGGTGGGGTGCGGTTAGCATTGTCGAGGAGGGCCCTGTCATTGGGGGCAGGGGGAGGTAGTGTTGGGAAGGTGGGAGGGCAGTGTGGGGGATGGGGGGAGAGCATGGGAGGGGCTGTGGTTGGGGCTTGGGGAGGTCCCAGCCCAGCTGTGGTTAGGGCTCGGGGGAGGGAGAGCGTGGGGGGCTCGGCGGGTCCCAGCCCG